GAGCAATGGTCAAGGTCGATGCTCTTTTGTAACATCTTCACTAGGCAGCAACATCTTGCCTTAATGGTATTATGCGTATGATCTAATTTTCAGGTGTTGGGGTCGATGTAGCTTGAGAGTTAGCATGACTAGGCCGCTTAAGCAAAACAGTTTACATAACTGAACAGGCAGCTGGAAAGGGCAGCTAAGAATAGCCATTGAGAAAGTTCTGATAGTGCACATCATGTGGGTTAGCAAAAACAAGATGTGTTCAAGGACGTGGAGGCGGCCTGTTGCTATTAGCGTTAGTGCATAGGGAACATGGGGCGCGTGAACAGCACGTGATTTATGTCTGTAGCCTATCCGAATAAGCGTGATCGCGTGTGCAGATATGAAAAATGTATATAACCACGCAAGTGGAGCAATAAAGTGAACTGACTGTGCACTGCATCAATGTGTGAGAGTCATTCCTGTCCCTGCACGGATGCTGAAACTCAGCATTCAGACAGTCTAAACATCTTCAGGCTAATTTCCAGTTAGCTTTAAGTACCACCATAAGTATTTAGCCTACCTAAAAAAGATGCTTACCCAAACCCAAAGTTTCAAACTTTGCCTGTTCCAGCTGACACACTTTAGCTTTCTCCAAAGTTCATTTGATATCTTTTTCTCAGAATTCACCAGCACAACCAAGAGTCGGTATTTACATCTCAAGTTATGACTAATTATGCACTCACAGAGAACTCTGAACTCCCAAAGATGTTGGTAATGATCTCAATAATATCAACATGCTGCAGTATTGCTACTTTCCTTTACATTGATATACAAGCATTTCTCATGTAGCCGATACAAAGAGTTACACATGCTTTTCAATTTTCTGCCATTAGAGAAACAAATGATAAAGCAGCAAAAATAACGTTTATTACGAATAAGGGAACTCTCAGAAATGAGCTCAGTCATTTATCCTAATTGTCGCTCCAAGTCCTTCTCTGTTTATTACATATGGGTAGCCTGGTAAATAACCTCTTGCACAATTTCAACACTGAATCAAATTCCCTGTAATCAGGAGCACATGTTTTGGCAGAGATTTAACAGGATAAATGCACAGTGCTGTTATTGAGGCTATTCTGAAGTTTTATAAATTAATACTTTCCTGGTAGCTATGAAATGCAGAATATACATTCAGCAAGCACATGACTGCAGATTTGATCAGAGAAGTGGCAATCACTTCAAGTGTTTCATCGTAGTGCTATGCTACGGAGTATATGTTTGTTTAGGAAAATTTCTTTTTTTCACGTGTACCATGGCAGAAAACAAAGTTATTTGCTACACTGATACTCTTCCCAGTCATACTGCTGTTACTGAGATCAAAACCTAGTAGCAGTGCCATTAATGTATTCATCCTTAAGGAAAGACCTCAGCAGGTACCAAGATCAAAGTTAAACAGAAGTTCTAGGTCACTTCCACAGGTAATTCTTGCTCACTTTTTTTAAAACATTAAAAGACAAAATTGAGAAAACACATAACTGTTCACCAGAGGAATTCTATGATATTCTATGCTGTTCTGTAATTAAAGACAAACTAGTCTAACCACAGACATTCCATGTGTATTATAGACAGACACTTCTAATTTTCCACATTATATATGCCCTGTAAACATATAACAATAAACAGAATTTTGCACACTATGGATGCCCAACATTACGAGTATATACTGTAGACATAATGAACTTTACAAAACCCTCAAAATTGTCTTTGTAAATCTAGAATTTTTAATTTTTTAGAACCTTGCAACAATTTTTGCTTCCTTTATTCCTCTTCTCAAGAGGCTTAGCCTTCGATCACAAGTTCTTGTTTTCCATTGATGATGAGTAATGGACGATAATCTATTAAAACCCACTCTGTACCAACACAGTATATTTTCTAAAATGCCATGCCAATGATACACAGAAATAAAGTGCAAAACCACAATAAAAATACCCCACATTTTGTTCAAGTCATTGTAGTCAGGCCCTTAACCAAGGCAAACTGAGAGTAATATCTAACCCTCTACTCAATTCAGCAGATGTTGGATAAAGCCCTGAACCTCTTATAAATTGGTAAGCTTAGTTTATCTCAATATTTTTCCTATTGAAAGAGAACATTATAGCACACACAAATTCTGCATACTTTCCAGGCTTTCATGATGCCATTTGTACAGTCACATACAGTCAAACTGCATGAAAGGTACTGAACTCTTTACTAAGTTTGATATCCAGTTACATGTAAAATTAAAAATAAATGAAATTGTTCAAAGAATAAATAATAAAAAATATTCCTTCTTCCCATTCAACCAAATGGAATGCAACTGAAAAAGCAAATAATAAAATTAAAATTGTTGATATAAATCCAATTATTTGCAACACACAAATTCTCCATTACTCTTTTTCAAACACATATGTGCTTTTCTTTCCTTTCCTCTTACGTTTTTTCTGGCCATTTAACCACTCAGTACCTCCAAACTGGCGGCATTTAAAAAAAAACAAACAAAAAAGTTACTGTTGAAGTTAAGAGCCTTTAATAGCATACAAAGACACATCCCCCCCATTCCTTCATCTATCACAGCATCTCCTCATACTACAGAGCTGCCTACAGCTAAACTCTCTGCTTATCCACAAGCAGTTGCAACAATTATTTTGTTTCCACTTTTCACTAACCAACGAAATGAAGAGAAAAACCTGTGTGAGCAACAGACCACTGGTAAACACAGCTGAGAAAGCCATAGTTTACGTTTACTTCTCATTCACAGCTTACACAGAAAAGATTTTAGAGTCCCTTCCTTCCTTTGCAGTAAGTCTCCTACTGCAACAATTCATGCCCATGATTTGATAATTGCAAATTATGTTAACTTTTCATATAAATATTAAAGAAACATGGAACTGTGTTCACTGCACCCACATCAGCTTTCCCGAGTATCAGGAAAAGGTCATGTTCCCCCTCGAGCGTCTTTCACATAACAGCAGGTATCATAACATTAAAAAGACACAAAATTAACACTGTACCAACATTAGTAAGTGTGACAAGCCTAAACAGTCAGAAATGCACTTAAAAATTAAAAGTATATTCACTGAGTCCCTTCATTTCAATCTGTACTGCAGAGACAACTAAAAAAAATTCAGAGAATGCAGAAATTCAAGTGTCATATTGTTGCAAACACAAAAGACTTCATCATTCAGATACCAAATTTTTTTCTGGAATTCTCTTATTTTGTAGTTATCTGCCAGAAACTCAAAATTTCTATGCAACTTCAGGAGGGAAAAAAAAAACTCAAAGAAGAAAATTCTGGGGTACATCACATTCCAGCTTTTGCTTGATCAAGAGTCTAGATGTGAAAATGCTTCAGGAAAGACTGAACTTTTAAAACTTAAAGCTTTTTAAATAGCACATGATAGGTACTCCTTAGTATTACCCTTTGCTGCTCATCCACACAGGCAGCACCATTAATTCCAGAGCAGACTACTACCGAACCAGGGGTGACTGAACAGCACTGGGGACAAGGATGAAGCGGGCAGGGGCCCAGACGGTCGTCTAGGTCCTGCCAGAGAGGGAAACAGCTCGCGCAGGAGCAGGCGGATCCTGCGGATCAATACCTGGTTGCACAGCAGATGCCACTGACAGATGTGGCTTTTACAATAAGGGGACTGCCTTTAAGGATCACGGACTGCTGGGAGAGATGAAATCCACCTGACGGAGCGGGACAAGATCGTCTTTGCCAACAGGCTGACCAAACTGGTGAGGAATGGTGGATGGGGTGGAAAGTAAATGGTGCATGGTGATAGGAACCAGAGAAACCTAAGAAATGAGAAAGCAGGATGAAAAGAATAAAACGGAGCAACTTGGGAAACAAGCAGGAGAAACAAGAGCTCCTCTAGTGGTCTCAGAACTGCATCATCATTAGAGCAGCACAGATGTGGTGGGATTTTGATGCTTCTAAGAATTTCTGCGTTAGCAGACTGGTGTCTGGGTTTGAGAACGGGTAGCCAGTGACAGCAGAGCGGAGGAACATGAGAGCCAGAAACACAAAAATAATCACATTTGTCAACAAGTTAGGTTTCCACAGACACTTGTGCACCCGAATTTGATTGATTATTCAATGCTTTTTAACAAATTACTAACTGTTTGGTATTGTTCTCTTTTCTTTCCGTTAGCTAAGGTCTTGTTTTTCATTGTCTTTTACCAGCTGAAAGGTGGGTGTTTTCCTGTATTTTTCAACTATCTGCCAACACTTCATAAATGATTAAAAATTCTACAAAAATCATCAGAGTAAGAGGAATGTTAAAATGTTCAGAAATCTTGTTCAGAGGTAAGTACACATGGCTGAAACAAAAGTGGAAAAATTTTGCAGCTGCTAATAATCCACAAATAAAGAAATACAAACAGCCTGGGACAGCATATTAAAGAGTGTTTAAAGTTTGCTCTGCCATTCTATTCACGGAGGGGATAATTGTTCTGAAACCAAGAATCCAGGAATCCAGTAACAGTACAGGATTTCAATGCTTCAACTACAGCCCAGACTAGAGCACAAACCCCTAAATTCAGATCCGGCTGAAGCAGAACACACTATGAACATGTCCAATGACACACAGTGAAGGCTTGCTGCACTATTCAAAATGTTTTTGACTGAGCTACTACAGTAAGCCACATCTGTCTGTCTGTCAAGCAACATTTGTGGTCACCGGTGTTCCCAAAATTGAAATAGAATATGTACATGCATATTGAAGAAGGCATTAGAGATTCATATCGAATCGTTGTACTCCCTGGCCAATGCAGTCATCTTATTAGCATGCTTCTGAAGTATTAAACTACTAAAAGCCAACCCTCAAAATCTGCTATTCGGATAATCAACACAATCCTATGGGTGAACATATATGAAGTTACTGCTGCTGTTCATTGACCGATCTCTAATGAAATTACACCAATTATTAAAATGTGCCATTTCAGTCAGAAACTTTTACATAGAATCTGTGTTAAGATGTGTCACTCACCTGGTAAACATGGAACGCATTAGCGGCTTTTCCACGCAGAAAGACTGAGGGAATCCAAACATTAATAAGAGCACGATTTGATCTGAGGAGGAGAGAGAAAAAACTTTAAATAGGGAATCATATTTATGTATGAGACTTGCAAAGCAACTACCTCCAGTGATTCAGATAATGATCAAAGTGATCTACAAAGCAACTTAACATTTCAAATGGAAAAATTGTAGTTCTGCCTGAACCTTTTATACCTGCCGTATCTCAAAGTGTTCCCTAAAATTAACATAACTAAAAAAGCACACTGAAACAATTCCCTTTGTGGCTTTTTGGGGTTTGGTTTTTATTTGTTTCTTTGATTTTTTACAGCATGCATTTGAGAACATTTGATTATACACGTGAAACAAAAACTATTCATTTCAACAAGCTCGCCATTTTTGTCCACAAAACTCAGCAAAACCCTGAGTTCATTAAATAACAGAAGAGCACTGCACAATTACTGAGAAGTAATTTCCATCCACTCTTTCTAATTCATCTCCAAATTTCTGTGATTCAAAGACATCAGCTACATTTTCAGTCCCTCGTCCACAAAGAGCTAGATTCATTAGTCTGACTAATAAAGGCAAAAATCCAAATCACAACACTCTAGCATGATCTGGGATGACCAGCTAGGTTGTTTGTGGGTTTTTTGGTAGCACTATTTGTATGATCTGATTCTGAGTTATTCTGTAGAAATGAGAAAGTCCGTTCCATTATGAACAGCATCTAGCACTTACCAAACCCAAAGCAACAGAAAACAGTAACTTTTTGGTCATTTGTTAGAATAAGACGTAGTGCACTGAAAGAGCCCTCCAAGGTAATTCTCATATATCTAAACTCCTTGCATTCAACATTACTAGTAACTACACTAGGGCATGGACTGTGCAGCTTTCCATGCTTTCTAACAACAGAACACCACAGCTAAGAATTCAGTTATTGGAAACAATACAGGACAAGCAAGTAACTGGACCTGTTTGCTTATACTTCTCTCCTGTAAAGACAGTGCGAAAAGAATGTCTATTATGGAACTTACATTTCAAAATCTGACAAACTCTGATCTTCAGATGTTTGACTCAAGTCTCCAGGGACCTATATTTACAAAACAGAAATAATTCCCACACACTGGTTATTACGCTTTCTATTTAGGAAGTATAATATTATAAGGAAATTACAATTCAACATTAAATTTTTAAAATGTCAATAAAAACTATTACTGAGAAGCAAAAAAAGAAAAATAAACAATCGTGCAACAGGATTACGAACATATCACCCTTGTGAGCTCTTCACGTTAGCATATGCTATCGTTTTGTAAACAAACAAGCTGGGGTTCACAAAAACATGTCATTTTGAAAGGTGCAGAAGAAAGCATCATTATTAGGCCTTTATAAGCAAAGTATGCTAAAAGAAAGTACATTGTGCGTATATACAATTTATGGGAAGAGATGAAGCATACAAAACTTAGTGGTCACTTTCTTTTACAACCAACAGTCCATCACAACACGTGACCAGTTCACTTCAGCGGTGTTCTTACCAAAGGTTATATAGCTACAAAAGTTCATACAGATGACAATGATGGACTACCGTCTGCAGAATCAAAAGAAGTTGCAGTTATGAGAAAACAAGATTGAAAGAGCACTTAGAACTGAAACACCAATAGCTTTTTAGCTTACTGTAAAGCTAGTCAAACATAAAAGGAAATCTCTCCTTTAAATACCGTAAAATATAAACCATAACCCAGAATGTGTTTTGACAAAGAAAAACAGCTAAAAGTTGTGAGCTTCCAGAGGCAGCTTCTACATTAGTTAAATATTGCTTCAGTGTATCTCTATAATGTATGCTGCATACATATCACTGTTTTTCAGAATATCTGCTGCCTAAGAAACTTAAATAGGTATTATTGCTTATTGTAAAGCAATACATATTTATTTATTGCAAAGCAATATAAAATTTCAGAGATGACTAAAGAAAATCTACTTCCCAGATGGTTTGAAGGCCAGCTCAAGACCTCCCAATACAAAAGACAAAACCGAATTTTGCCTTCCCAAGATCAAAGGGATGTGGGTCAGCAAAAGCTAAGTCATTCCTGCCAGAGAAAGAAAAAGAGGAAAAGAATTGTGCAGAGCCAAGACACCTCCAGGGCATATATGTAGGGCACTTCTACGGAGCCCTGAACAGCTCTGCTGCCCTTTTCTGGAGGCATGAGGAGGGAAGTGGCAGGGGGGCCTCTCT